CCCTATATGGGATCCGAACCTGTGGCCTTGGTGTTATCAGCACCACACCCTCCCGAGTGAGCCACGGGCTGGCCCAGTATTTAATATTTTTAAAAACCGCAGAAGATTACCATATTTGCACCTGCCTCTTCATGCTAGAAAATCACCAACTCCTTGCATAATTATCATCCACAATGCTGTGTGACTTCCTCAGACATCACAGGCGAGGTTGTTTCAGCTAGGGAGTCCAGGTTTACAGGAAATGCTCAAGATTTTGTTATTGGGGGGCCAGACTAGACAGAGTGGCTGTGCTATTTTTGTATTATGTGAAGGCACAAAGTATTTCTATCTCGCCGACTGTGGAAAGCAATCTGCACGCACATCATTGACTACAGGAGCTGAGCGGAGCAGCCGTTCCCACATGGTGAATCACGTGTTTACATTTCCACCCATTTCTCTCATTACAATATCATTTTGGGCCCTTCAAAGACTTGATTAAAATTAGTATCACTACTAAGGGAACACTCTTTCCTTCTACTCAGGTCAGGAAATTCATGGAGTGGAAAGGAAAAGTGGCTTCAATGAAGGTGACACCTGTCATTTCACATTAAAGAAGGTAAGAGACTAAATCGCACCATGGTTGCTGAATTCTGGCTCTTTCAGCTTTTTTCTTATCCCTGAAGGCCCTCTGAGACGTGAGTCATTACACCTGCTGATCTTAATGAGTAAAAGAATGTCCTGAAACATTGTTACTCTTGGTGCTTCTTCTCCTCCCTGTGACTCTCTCCTCATTAAAGAGGCTGAGTTTGGGGTGAGCAGAGGGGCAGTCTTGGCTTTGACTTCTAAGCCAGGGTCTTAAAACCCATGCCCAAGACAGTTTCCAAAGTTGAGGCTCTTATTCACAAGCACCCGCCATTCTGAGCAGGGCAACAAGTGTACTGAAATCTCACAACAGACTCAGAGCAAAAGGATCACACACACATGCAGGCATGCACATGCACACACGTGCACACCCACACACATGCATGTGCCCACACGCACATACACATGCATACACACAAGCACATGCATGTGCATAAATGCATGCACATGGACACACAAGCACACCCCCACACAGCTGCATGCATGCGCAAACCCACATGCATACGCAAACCCCCACACGTGCATGTGCACACATGTGAGAACACCCACAGAGCCTTGGCAGAGCATGTACTTAGCCTGTCTTTCCACCCCTCCAAGAGGAGAGAGGGACCTTCCAAGTGGGGCTGGGGCCTGTTCTTCCAAGAAGCCCTGACTCTGACCTGGCTCCTGTCCTGATCGCCTGGAGCCTCTGAGATGCCCCTGCCATTTTCACTCATTGATTGAACAAATAGTTGCGGAACATATATTTCGTGCCTTCCAGAACAGAGACCGCGTGGGCCTTGGGTCCCTGACACGCACATGAAAGAACAGATCCTCTGCTTGCTCTGAGGTGATGCTAAGGGGCACGCTACCCTCCTGTCGTGCTGGCTGGCCCTCACGCTGCCACTTAGTTAGGAGGGAGACTTGGAGGGGACTGCCTTGGGCTGAGCTGCGTCCCCTCAAAGCTCACCTGCTGGAGCCCCAACACCCAGGACCTCAAAATGGTACTATATTTGGAGACAGGGCCTTTGAAGAGGTAACTGAGTTAAAATGAAGTTGCATAGGTGTCCTCTTCCAATATGTCCTGCATCATAAAAAGGGGAAACTTGGAGGTAGACACACACACAGGGAGACCACCACGGGAACACAGAGACGCTGTCTGCAGGCCAAGGAGGCCTCAAGAAGAACCAGCCCTACAACACCTGGGTCTCAGACCTCCAGCCTCCAGAGCTCTGAGACAGGAAGCTTCTGTTGTCTAAGCCTCCAGGCTGTGGTGCTTTGTTATAACAGCCCCAGCAAACCAATACAGGCCCCAACCCCAGCCCTTCAAAACTCTCATCTCATGACACACACTGATGTTCCCTGAGCATTCGGAAGCCCACCTTGTTTTAGTGTCTGTGCCTCTGCCAGAGACTTCATGGCTCCCACCATCCTACTGCGGGTGGGAGGTCTCCAACAGGGTGGGGTGGGTGGGATGTGTAGACTTCGGCTTTGGGAGAGCTGGTCTTTCTGTCCC